GGCAGCGGAGCCTGCTGCGGTCCCTGCTGAAGCTGGATGAGTACCTGAGTGCCCCCCTGGAGTATGAGCTGGCTCACGACCCCCACCTCCGGGCCTCCCGGCGCCGCTTCCTTGATGGGGACCAGCTCACGTTAGCTGACTGCAACCTGCTGCCCAAGCTCAACATTGTTCAGGTGAGCATGGGCATCCTGGTGCTGTGCCCTTCCCCTTGCCCCAGCTTCTCGATGATGCTGGCCCCATGCTCTCCCCCCCCCCTCAGTGCCTGCAGCAACTCCCCCACTCCTTTGCGACCCCTGTTTCACCCTGGTGCCCCCTGGCACCCCCCTCACCAGGACCCAGCACAGTGCCTTCCCGCAGACCTCACTCCTCCGCATCCCTGCTGAGTGCCACCCCTTGTCTCAGGCAGTGCCAGGGATGTCCCCTGGCCTCTGCCACCCTTCCTGGCTGGCTCCTGCCTGCCACCACCACCCCTCCCACCCCACCCCCCCAGCCGTGGGGCCCTCCTTGGCACACCCCACACGTGCAGGGCTGGGCCAGGGCTCACCCTGTTCCTGCCCACAGGTCGTGTGCCAGCATTACCGCCGCTTCGGGATCCCCCCAGACCTGCGGGGAGTCTGGCGCTACCTCAACAGCGCCAGCGAAACCAAGGAATTCAAATACACCTGCCCCAACAGCGAGGAGATCGTACAAGCCTATCGCTCCGTGGTCCGGTCGCCGCAGTGAGCCGGGCATGTGCCCAGGTGGGTGCAGGGCCATCACCAGGCAGGGGGCCAGCCCCAGCACCAGCCCTGCTGCAACCACCACAGTCCTGCCTGCATGTGCTGGGGAGAGTAGAGCGCACAAGCTGTGCCTCTGGCACACAAATTCCTCGAGGTGCCGGCAGCAATCTGCATCGCACTGAATCCACAAACATGTTCTTGCCTCTTGTGCCACCCTCTGTGCCTGGCCAGGACCCCCTCAACCTGCCCTGCAGTCCTGTCCCTCACGCATCAGGATGGCTGCAAGGGGGCCGCAGCCACAGGCACCGTCTGTGCCAAAGCTGGGCAATGCCGAGGGCCAGGGCAGGCAGAGCAGGGGGCTGTGGGGCACAGAGGGCCGCACGCTGCAGCAGGCAGTCCTGCCGCCTTCCTGGGAGCACGCTGTGCCAGGGGAGTGACCCGAGGCAGGGCTGTACCAGGGCAGCAGACACCGCAAGATGCCTCCGAGGAGCTGCACCGGGTGAGGGGAACTGGCACAGCTGCGGCAGTGCCCCAGGGATGGAGCTGGGGGGATGCTGCAGGCTGTGGAGGGGGCCCAGCCCCCATCACACCCCAGAACCTGCCGATAGGAAGCTCTCAGGAGCAGATTTGGGAGAGGGATGGGGGTGAAGCAGGGCAAGTCCAAGCAATGTATCAGAACTTTTGGAAATCAATAAAGGCTTTGCAAGCGAGACAAGTGTGAGTCTGGGGTGACCAGCCCCAGCAGCTCTCTTCCCTCTCGGGACTTTGCACTGGCCTCCCAGTCCTCTCCCAGTGCCCAGCAAGGGCTGGGCCCATTCTCCCCACTCTCCCGGGGCCTGGGGAGGCTCTGACCACTCATTCACCCCCCGCAGGAAAGCAAACTCCTCTGAGCCCCTGAGCCTCCAGGTTCAGCTGAAATTGGCCAGAGGGTTCCTGAGCAAAGGAAAGGCAGAGGGGACCGACACATCCGCGGTCCCCAGAGACCAGCTGGCTAAAACCACCTTTACTGGCAATAAGTTAAGCACACGCAATCTTTTCATTACATGGGGATATAAAAGCTCTTTAAAAACCCCACCAATTCATGGCAAGTGAGGTAGAGGTGGCCCCTGCCAGCAGGGAAGAGCTGCAGGGAAAAAGCCACCACTTCTGTCTCCCCTGCCCCATCTGATTCCCGCAGAGGCCCTACTACTGCAGCAGCTGAGGCTCTGCTGCCGGCTCAGGCCTGCCAGGCACTGGCTCCAGCCCGCTGGGTCCTGCTTGCCCCATCCGCCTCCCTGGGCGCAGGGAGCTCGGCCGGCCCAGGGTGCAGTGAAATCTCCTCCACCAGCCACACACACCGTTGTCACTGGGGGACGGGGCAGCACAGGTCAGGAGTCCTCGAAATCCACTCCAGACGGTGCCTTCTTGCTAGAAGGAGACGAGAGAGTGTTGCAGCCCAAAGCCCCACACTCTGCTCCCATGCAGCTACAGTCCATGGATCGCCAGCCCAGCCCAGCCCCAGCACTGGGCCTGGGAGCAGCACTTACCTTTTGAAGCCAGGGTTAATGAGAGACTCTCCCGGGATCTTCCTCTTGGACGGCAAAGCGAAGCCAGCACCCCTGTTCTTCCTGGGGCTGGGGTCTTCCCCAGTCAGAGACAGGCAGGATAGGGATTACAAAAACCTCAGTTAGTTGCCTTGGCAGCCCTGCAAAGCCCCCATGCCCAGGGTGAGCCTCCAGCAGCCCAGCCTGGCTAGCCCAGCATCTGTGGTGGGCAAGGAAGGGCCAAGCCTGGTCTGCCCTCCCAAAGGAGCAGGAGCCATGGACCTGCCACGGCCCCTGGTCTGGAAGAGCAGTGAATCCTGACCGGGATTAGGGATAGCGAGCAACCTGCCTGGCACGCCTGGCATCTGACCTGAGCACAGAGCATCCCAGACACCCCGAGAGCCACCGTGCTGGGCCCTGACCCCTTCTGTGCTGGGGAGGTCACCAGGCCAGTGGGGTGGCTGACAGCAGCCACAGCCGAGGGGACTCAGAGTGGCCTTGAGAGCACAGGAACACAGGATCAGCAGCCTCCTGGGGAGGAGAAGGCAAACAAACAGCAGGACCACGGAGGTGCCCCCTGGCAATTGCCTACCTGGCAGGAAGAGCTGCTGGCTCCAGGCAGCATTCTTCTCAGGGCTGCAGGAAGGCGCCAGCGTCTCCACCACTGCTGAGAGGAACCAGAGCTTGTGACAACCCACCCTGAAGCGGCATGCAGCCCTCCAGGCCTCCCCAGGAAGCTCCCTCCCCTCCACAGCCAAACTCAGCCGCATTCTCCTCCCAGCACTCCCACCTGGGCTGCCGCTGCCCCAGGATCTTCCTAGACCCCCAAACCAGAGACCTCTGTAAGGCAACTGCCACACACAGAGATGATGGCGTGGTGCTGACCATGGGGACAAGGCTGTGTTTCTGCACAGAGGTGCAACACTGCGTCCTCTGGCCCCATGCAGGATCTCTTCTGCCTGAGGTGGTCAGGTGCAGACCCAGCCAGCTTTGGGAACCAGCCAGCCCAAACAGCAAAGGGAAGGCAGCAGCTCTGCTGCCCAGCCCACCCGGGACCGGTGAGGAGAAACCACCTGGGACCAGGCCAGGGAGCCCAGCCTTCTCCCGTTGCTGGCTGGGCTGCATCACTTGGGGCACCTCTGGGTGGGGGGACGATGCTGCAAGGGTGGCAGGGAGCTGCCTGCCCTTCTCCCGCATTTACCCCCTGCCGACTGCCCCACAGACCTTCTAGGCGCCTCTCCAGGCTCTCTATGCGCCCCGCCATGCCGAACA